ACACATGTACACACACACACGTACACACACGCACACACACACATGTACACACACGCACACACACATGTACACACATGCACACACACATGTACACACACACACATGTACACACACGCACACACACATGTACACACATGTACACACATGTACACACATGTACACACACACACACATGTGCACACACAGACACACACACACACACACACACACACACACACACACACACACACACACACACACACACACACACATATTTGTAGTGAACATATAATGTGGATATAAGTGTGTGTGATTGTGTATTTCTGCTTGTCTGATGGCATGTGTGCATTTGTAAGTGTTTTTGTGTGTATGTGTGTGTCTTTGTATGTGTTCATGTACATACACATTGCATGTATGTACAAGTATTTCTATATGTAGATATGTTACTGTTTGTGTCTGTGTCTGTCTATCTATGCACAGACATAATGTGGAAGTATGTATGTATGTAGTCTCATTCTTACATATCATTTAGGCCACAGTTATGAAGAGCAGTGATAAGATTAATTCTTCTACTGTATGAATACTGTATATCTGCAGGGAAATTTAAATGTTTGATTCATGTTTATTCATGTTTTTTTTCTTCTGATTCCCATATCTATATCTATATAATGTATTATACAAGAGTCCTTTTGAATTGGAATCTGAAAATTGGAAAACTCACTTGACTTCAGGTTTGGCATGTTTATTGTTGGTTATATATAGTAATCTGTCATAAAAGAATAAAAGAAAATAATGAGTGTTCTTTCTAGAAGTTATTCGTGTGTTTAGAGTTATCTATAAAATAAAGATCAGTGATGTTATTTTTTTATGACTTTGTTCATTTACTATTTACTATTACTATTAGTTGAAACCAGGGGAGAGTAATATGAAGTACAAAAAAAAACTGGAAAGACGTTTATCATTTACCTATTGGATCTGGGTGCCTTGCTGCCCAGACCTGGCCCAAAATCTGGGAATTAGGCTTACTTGAGTGCCAACTCTCCTGGGTGCATGGCTTGTATGCCTTAGTACATGCGAACACTCTTGAGAGTTGTCAAGACTCCTTACCCCCCCTTTGCAATGCTATTATCTCTTTTACTCCAAAAGCATTTTTTTCCCCCCCTCCCCATTTTCCAAAGTCTGTATTTGTCATTTGATATGCTGTATCAAGGAGGTAATAGAAAGATATCCTTGCACAGACTCCATATTATTATCAGTAAAAATATCAGTAAATAACATTTTTGTAATATTGAATTTTCTGTAATACACCCTGTGTCACCGGTCATGGTGGGCTGGAATAGGATCCTGAGCATGGAAATTGTGTCTTCCCGGAGCTGGCGCTCTTCCAGTCATGGCTCACAGATGGTACATTCCACACTCGTTTACCAATGAAAATAATGCAAGAGCCCCTTCCTAAATGCCCACTCAGTCTAATCACCGTCCAAGAGCTTTGTTACTTATGGCGAGTCTTATTCGTCACTCCGGCCTTCAGCTGAAATTCCCATGACGGTATGTCCCCGTCACCTCGACCCTCAGACATTTTTTTTTTTTTTTTTACAATATATTCATGTCACCTGGCCCTCAAACCAAATTTTTTTCTCATGACATGATGGTAACGTTGCCTGGATCCAAGGGGTGAATGTAGCTGCTGATTCATATTGACTTGTTACTGAACTGATGAGATAGTGATACATATAGGTTGCTACTCTTGTCCATACACTGGTGAAAATAAAAGGGTTACAACTCATTTCAATTCATGGAATGGACTGTAGTCAGAAATCAGTACACATTAGATTATGCAACAAAAGAAAAACACAAAATATAGTATGAAAACTCGACTGAAATAATAAGTACAATAGCATGAAACTTTTTGTTCAGTGAGATATTGTGCATGAAGTGTAATATCTGATACAATGATTTTTAGTAGGTGGTATCAGTTATTGTTTATTTATTTATTATTAAGATTTCTAGTGTTGAGAAGTTTGTTTCAAAGGTGCAATGATGAAACTTAATGAAGCTTTCATGTATTTCCCCCCCCCCCCCCTTTAAAGATAAATTTAATCTTTTCCAGCCCAAGAAATCCAGAAGGGTTAACATCTTTATGGGTTGGAAATGTTGTACCAGATGTAACTGAAAAAGTGCTTAGCCAGTTGTTCTCGAAGTAAGTTCCATATTGTTTACAATGGTTATAACAGTGATCATAGTACCTATTACTCTCTTCTGATTTTTTACCTCTCTTCTTTCCCCCTTTGTGTTTTCTTCTCTCCTTCCATTTGATTTCATTTTCTTTTTTCTCCTTTCGTCTAATTTATTTTTCTCCTTTTATTTCCTCTTCCCCTCCCTCCCTCTCCTCCTCTCTCTCTCTCTCTCTCTCTCTCTCTCTCTCTCTCTCTCTCTCTCTCTCTCTCTCTCTCTCTCTCTCTCTCTCTCTCTCTCTCTCTCTCTCTCTCTCTCTCTCTCTCTCTCTCTCTCTCTCTCTCTCTCTCTCTCTCTCTTTTTTTGGTCATATTACTGTTCCTTTCCTTTAGTCAGTCACCTCTGCTCTTTTCTTTCACTGATCTATTGCCTATCCTGCTACATTATGTCATGGTTATCTTCTGTATTTCTTGGCTTTTCTCACTTCTCACATTTAGACCTTTTGCTCCTATATCAGATTTTTTCTTTTTCTTTTTATTTTGTTCTGTTTTTTCCCTTTACTTCTTCCCCTGCTTACAACATCTTTTTTTGTGCTGATTATTCAATTATGTCATATACATGATTATATATATCTAATTCTAACAAATCTAGATCATATAATACAAAGATTTTCCGTCCCACTCCACAGACAAGGTCATGTTACAAGTGTACGGCTTTTGAAGGAAAAATACTGCGCTTTTGTAAACTATGCCAACAAGGCTGCTGCTGGCCGTGCTATGGAGGCGCTGCAGGGCCATGAACTGTGTGGCCAAAGACTCCTTATAAAATTCCCTGACAATCCTATTGTTAATGGTGCACAGAATGTTATCCTCAGGAAATCTAAACCACAACCAATAAAAAAGTAAGTGAATAATTAGAAAATAGATTTTAAGAAAAAAAGGAATACATGCACACACACACAAGACAAGTAAAAGAGAAGAATTGCAATTCTTTTTCTCAGTAGGCATAGGGAAAGAGGAAGAGAGGGGACATGATAAAGAATAAGATCTCTCATAGCCTCACTGTTATTTGCTCACAGAATGTAGGCAACTGAGGGGAAAACAAGCTACAGAATGTTAATAAAAGAAAAAAAGTAAAAAGTAAGTAGAGGTCCTTGCGGTCTTGTCTCTAGCGTGTTTTATTACTTTTTTTTTCTCTCTCTCTCGCACCACTACTTTAGTTTACATTTTTATCATGTTTTAGCACAGCACTGTGGAATAAATGAGTTGATTGGGATCATGTATGATATTTTATTAATTTTTATGTTTTTAATTATTTATTTATTTATTTTTTTTATTATTTTTTTTTTTTTTGCTATCTTGTAGGAAACTCCATATATATTATATTATCATGGTAATTTTATAGGTCTTACTCCTTGTTAGATGAGAAGTCAGAGAATGTCTTAACCCAAAGGCTCTGGGTACATGCACTGTCCAATGTGATAATGTTTTGTTAACCTAGTCACCATGGGAGCCCCCGACATGATACTGAAGTACAATTGCTAAAAAAAGTATCATTACTTGGGAGCAGATGAAACTGCTAAGAATTGATTTGGAAAGGTTGGTACTTGTTTTTAAAGCTTGGAACAGATGGAGCTTCATAATGTAATTGAATAGTGTTTTGGAGTTGATATGGCTAGGGTCTTGTAGCAAGGCAATATTAGCAATGGAGATCTCGTAGACCATTTGTACCATCATAATTATGCTTTGCTCTGAGGGACTGAAATATCAAGATGATCAGGCATTTCGAAGCCATCCATGTCTCTGTGGATCCAGGGACACTGAGCAACTGGATCCACCAGAGACAAGGCCAGAAATGGGCACCCTAGAGGCACGATAGAGGAAGATGATCAAGTAAATGTCAATCAAAATTATGAATGTGCTAGGTGAGAGAAAAATAGGAAGCTTGCATTGAAGTGCATAGATATCACCAGCTAATGAAAACTATTTGATACTCAGTGTTAACATCCCTCACAGTTTGAGAAGGGGGCGTGGCCAGTAGTTAGTTGCCATGTCCCCTTACTGTGAATAATTTCTTAGATATTTTTGTGGGACTTCACTTTATGCTGCTTCACACAGCCTGTCAGAAACCACTGGGCTGTTTGGGTGAATGCACAGCAGAAGGGTCAGGGAGTTGACAGATGTCGGGCCTGGCAGATTAACGGGCATGCTAATGTGAAAATCCTGGTGAGACATTTCTATTGTCTGTGAGGGTCATAGTGTTCCTCAAGCTGGAGCCATTTTACCTCGTCCAGGATTATAGCCCTATCCACACAAGCCAGTTTATGTTGGCATTTGTGGTATCCATACCACCAGACTTGCCAGCTTTCACTAAGCTGGTGACCTTAACTTAAAGTATTTAAAGTATTATACATTTCACAATCCTTAATTTTTTTAATGTAGGCAAGTGAAAAAGAGAGAAAAATGATCCATTCTAGGGGCATTTTTATGCAATAACACACCTATAAAGGTGTAAATACTAAAAAAAAAAAAAAAAAAAAAAAAAAAAAAAAAAAAAATTGTGGTCTTTATGGGGAGGGAGCAGTTGGGGGATAGCCCCCCAAAAAGAAAAGTAAATGATTAAATAGATCAATCAATTAATAAGTGATACCCCTAGCAGGGATACCAATATCAGGTCAAGCTCACTGGACTTTCTCCAACCACATTCGTCATTGTATCACATTGTTAAGTCCGAAAGAGTACACCTTGGGTTATCCGCAGTGTCAGCTGCTCAAGGGAAAAATTGGAATCATAGGAAACAGAATTATTCCACTCTTTATGCTCCTGACTGCAGCACAAACAGTTCTG